GGGAGGTGGGAGGGGCGGGTGGGCGGCAATATATGGCTTTTTGCGATGGCCGCCAGTGGGCGATGCGTCGTGGGGCGAGGGCGGGATGGACTTCAAATTAATGACCTACGTAAGGTCCTGTCTGTCTGTCTCTCTGTCTGTCTCGTGCGAGCATGATGAGTGAATTAGACGGCCTGCCTGGTGCGTGTGTGTCCTGTCTGATAGATGTGTCATGTGCATCCCCCGTCCACTGACTGTGGTATTTGTGACGCAGCCCTGCTTGAATGAATGAGGGGCCCATGGATCCGACTTGTCTGGCATGTGAGCTACTGCAACTCATGCTCCGCGTCGCTGACGGCTTTCGCAGAAGCAACGCTGGCCCTTTCCGATTGCGAGCTCACATCTCCGAGTCGTCGGCAAGCGTAGGAACGTTCCGAAGCAGTAGTCTGTCCTATCCTGGGGATCACCAAATTGGTTCCGTCCGTTGCGCATGGTTGGCGGTCCCCACTGCAGCCCTGCGCATGGTTTGCTTAGAAAGCCCTAGGAGTGAGCGACAGTCCCACTGCCTCCTCCTCCTCATCGTTGCAGCTGCGGCAGCTGTGCAGAGGTAGCGACATCAGCAACATCACATCAACACACGCATGGCACGGGGGGAGAGGGGGAGGTGCATTTGCATTCGCTGCCTGCTGGCATCTGCTGTGGTGCGTTTGGTGGCGTGGTGTGTGCGTGTTGTGCAGATCTGTCGCGTTTGTGCCCTCACCGCTGATTCGAACAGCCCCCCTAAGTGCGCGGTAGGTACATACAGTGCACGACTAGCACCCAGCTCACAGAGAGAGCCCTGCCTGCGTCGCGTCTACCGCACGAATGCTCATGCAGCGAGCTGTGCTGTGCATACATACTGTGTTGTGTTCAGGCCATCCCGTTCTTCTGTGTCTTTATCATCAATGGAGCCCCGTTTGCGGCACCGCAGCCAGATCGCGCAGCAGGCGCATCGCGACCACCGCACTGGCGGGCCTGATGGGGGGAATGCGGCGGATGAGGATAAGAAGGGCAACAAGGGGGACTTCTTCCCATTCAGAAAGGTATGACCGGTCGTTGAGAGAGAAGGTGTAATAGTGACGGACACACAACACACCCATACATACATCGTGATGTCTTGTGTGGGTCATGCGCATGCGATGCGGTGCGTGTGTGTGTAGGATGAGATAGAGAGCGAGAGCCGGAACTTGCAGTTTGTCGAGACCACCACACTCAGGTATGTAGGTCAAACAATTTGACGACCAGGCAGGGCAAGCAGCAGGGCAGGCGGTCTGGGGGCTGCTTAGTGACGTGACGGACGAACAGACGAGCACGCTTGGTTTGGTTGCTTCCGTGCGGTTCGTGTGCAGGAAGCAGCTCAAGATCTTCAAAGCCCTCGCGTGGCCATACTTTCAAAAGGTGTGTATGGGTATGGGCCTTTTGGCTTGGCTGTCTGTTCGTACGCTCTCAGTCAGTGTGTGCAGTGCATGGTGCGTCTTGTGTTCTGTTGTGTGCCGTGTAGGAGTCGCGAGCCCGCCAGCAGTTTGGGCTGGTGATCCTCCTGACCCTCCTCAACTCTGGTGGGTACACACAACACAGAGAGAGACGACGTACACACACACACACACAGACACACACATGGATGGATGGATGGATGACCCGCGTGTGTGGTGCAGGTGTGTCGGTGTTGTTCTCGTACATCGGGCGGGACTTCTGGAACGCACTCAGCGAAAAGAACGAAGAACTTTTCAACACCGTATGTGTGAAGAGCTCCACACACACAGCCAATCACACACTCCCCATATCTATGTGGGTGTGCGTTTGTCAATTGCGCATGGCCTGTGTGTGCAGATGTTGCTTCGGTTCTTCGGAGCGTTGGTTGCGGGCATTCCCATCACCGTATTCTACACATTCGTCAGAAGACGGGTCGGTCGCTGGGGGTGGATGGACCCACAAGACACACACCCACACCCAGACGCATGTGTGTGTGTGTGTGTGTGCTTGTGCTGTGTGTCTATTGCCTGTGACATGACAGTTGGGTCTGGAGTGGCGTCAGTGGATGACCACCGAAGTGATGAAGGAATACTACGCACACAGGTCGGTTCGGACCACTCCCACTCCTACACATACAGACAGGGGGGCTTTTATCCATCCATCCATTTATCCATGGTGCATGTGTGTGTGTGTGCGTGGCTCTGCACTCACTGCCCTCCCTGCAGGTCGTATTACCTCATAGAGAGCAACAAGGAGATCGACAACCCCGACCAGCGAATCGCAGAAGACATCAAGTACACACCTACACACCACACACCACACCCACCGCACACACACGCCTGGCATGTCTGTCCGTGTGCTGTGTGTCATTGAATGCAATGCAATCATTGGTTTGATGAATCGAATCTCTCAGCTCCTTCACGAATGTGTCGTTGGATTTCTTCATCACGTGCATGACGTCCGTCATCGACTTCCTGGCATTCAGCGCCATCCTGTACTCCATCGACCCCAACCTCTTTCTCGCCGCGGTAAGTACGTGGGCACTTCCCCTGCACACACATCCTTCGTGTGTGTCTGTGTCTGTGTCTGTCTGTCTGAGTCAGTTCCTCTATTCAAGCGTCGGGACCTATTTCACCGTCACCATCGGCCGCCAGCTGGTCGGTTTGAACTTCGAGCAGCTCCAGAAGGAGGCCGACCTCCGATACTCGCTCGTCAGGTACACCTGACCCCACCCCCCCGCTGCCACCCCACCCACACACATCACATCAACCACGCACACCACCATGTACTTGTCCGTGTGTGTGTACTTAGGGTTCGCGAGAACGCCGAGAGTGTGGCCTTTTACGGCGGCGAGGAGATCGAGGGGATGGAGAACGAGCGGCGGCTCAACCGTGCCGTCAGCAACTACCGCGACATCATCGGCGTGCAGCGGAATCTGGAGTTCTTCACTGTGGGATACAGATACATCATTCAGGCAACCAACCACAACACAACACAACACAACACACAGTCCATCGCATTGCACCTTCTTAGCGCACATGCCGTGTGTCTTGATTTGTCCTGTGCTGTGCTGTGTCTGCAGATATTGCCGGCCTTTGTGGTGGCCCCCCGGTACTTCGCGGGCGCGATTGAGCTGGGTGAGTGCACTGAGGGGGATCCGCTCGTCCACCAATATATGTGTGTGTGTGTGTGTGTGTGTGTTGATGGCAGGTGTGATAAGTCAGTCCTACGGAGCCTTCAACCACATCCTCAGCGACCTCTCCATCTTCGTCAACCAGTTCGAGGTGGGCAACCAACCAATCATCCTCCCTCCCACCGGCCCCCGCCAGAATCTTATAATTGTGTTATGTACTTTGGTTCTTGTGTGTGTGTGTGTGTGCAGCGCATCAGTGCGTTCAGCGCTGGCGTTGACCGTCTGGGTCAGTTTGTAGATTTCCTCGAGATGCAGCGGCGCCGGTCTGTCGCCATCAGAAACGACACACTCACCACCGCCACACAAACTGAGGAAGGTAAGGAGCTGTGGTCGGTCAGCACACACACACGACCACAGCTAACATCGGCATTCTCTGTGTGGTGTGCCATGTGTGTCAGTGGTTAGCAATGGGCTGCCTGCCTCGGGGGTCTTGAGGCGTGCAGACACCATCTCGACTGCCGCCGGTGAGTTGACTGTGTGGAGTGTACTGCACACACACACACAGCACACATACACACTTACAACAAACATGCGGATGCATGCCTAGACGATCGCTGCACGTCACCTGCAGGGTCTAGTCACGACCTGATGATGGGGTCGACGGGCGAGATACCGCCCTCCACTGGTAGGTACCTACCCACACACAGGCATCCACAACCACGCACACACACACACACATGTGTGTGTGTGTGTCATGTGTCTGTCTGCTCGTGTCTGTGTGTCCTCAGGTGAGGAGTCGACGATAAGCCTGCCTCCGTCCACTGCCGGCGTGTGGCTCGCCAAGACCACTGAGGGCCTCTTCAAAATGCCAATCGACGAGGAGAAGGAAAACGGTATGCATGTACCAGACACATACTCAGCAAGCCACACAGGCAGGCAGGCAGGCACACAGAGGCAGGCGCATTGGTTGGGTGCGTGTCTGCAGGGTTTCCCTCCCAGATACGCACTTTGGCACTGCCTGGTGCCACGCTCGTCATGAGAGACGTCATGGTCAAGACGCCTGACGAGTGAGGGAGGCAGGCACCTCACACACACACCACAGCCACCATACGCTCGCTGCCCATGAATATGTATGTATGTCTCTTACCTACCGGTCAGGAGTCGCACGTTGACCCGCGATTTGTCGCTGACGCTGTCTGAGGGCGAGCACATGCTCATCGTCGGCAACAGCGGCACTGGTATGAAAAACCAACCGGCACACATTGCAATGCTTGCCGACTTTTTGTGTGTGTGTATGCCATCTCTCTCTTGTGTGTGTGTGTGTGCAGGGAAGTCGTCTCTGTTGCGCGCCATCGCCGGGCTGTGGACCAACGGTGCGTTCGTTCTTTCCATGTGTGAGGTGTGCATGAGTGCCCATCCTTCCTTGTGCGGGGCTGGGTTGGGGTGTCTGTCCATGTGTGTGTGCTCACGTGAAGGCAAGGGCTGGATCGAGCGCCCCCCGCCGGGCGAGATGTTCTTCCTCCCACAGAGGCCATACTGCACACTAGGTGGGTAACAACTGACACACGCACTCGCTGCCTGCACCCATCGTCGCATCCGCCATGGGTCTGTGTGTGTGTGTGTGTGTGTGTGGCCACCCCACAGGCACTCTGCGCGACCAGTTACTGTACCCCCGCACGCCCAAGGACAAGACGACTGACAAGCAGGTATGTGGATATGTTATGTGCACAGCACACAGGTGAGGTGCGTGCCTACCGTACACACGCATGTATCAATCAACAGGGCGGTGATTCGTCCCCGACCAGCGTGTCTACGGCCGACTCACCGACCAACCACAACCACAACCACAACCACAATGGAAGGAGGAAAGATGGTCCGCACACGCACATACAAAAGCACACACGCTTTGAACGAACATTGAGTGTCTGTCTGTGTGCACTGCAGCGCACCACCACCACTCTGCATCTGCGGGATCCCGTCTGCCGTCCATCGACGAGGAGGAGGAGTACATTTCGGACGAGAGCCTGCTGGCCATATTGGAAAAGGTAGGTACACACGTTCGTTGTGATAGTTATAACACACACACACACACGCGCAATCTCTCACACATACTCTCACCTGAATGGATGATACACACTCACACTCGCGTGCGTGTAAGCAATTAAATTGTGTTTGTTTCATCCATTCAGGTGAGGCTGGGCGACATGGTGCGGAGAGTTGCCGAGGTGGGTGGGTGAATCGAATCTGTCTGCACACACACATGCAGACAAAAACGCATCGTGGATGGATGGATGGATGGATTTCGTCCCGGCTTTCGTTCTGCCTCCCTCCCTCCAGGCCGACCAGCTGCCCAACGGCCTCGACGCCGTGCGCGACTGGTGAGTGTGTATACACATGGATACACACACATGTGATGTGTACCGCGTTCCAAATGTACACCCGTTGTGTGTTCGGTTCGGTTCGCACAGGTCGGACATGTTGTCGTTGGGTGAGCAGCAGAGGCTGGCCTTTGCCAGGCTTCTCGCCAACAGGTGGGCCTCGTGGGCCTCAATGTCCACACACCACACCATACCATGGTGTGCTGTGCACCATCAGGCCCCGGTTAGCTGTGTTGGATGAGGCGACGAGCGCGTTGGATTTGGGCACGGAGGAGGCCATGTACAAAACCATGGCGGTGCGACACACGCACACACACACACACACACATCGCACCTCCTCCATGGATGTATTGCGTGTGTCAACAATTTAAACAGGAGGAGCTGCCGCGTCTGACGTATGTGAGTGTGGGCCACAGGCCGTCGCTGCTCAAGTTCCACGAACAGAAACTCAGACTTTTCCCTGGTAACCATAGCATACACACGCACACACACACATCCCTCCCTCCCTCCCTCCCTGCACCCTTGATGTGTGTGTATGTGTGTGCAGACGGCACGTACGACTTTGAGCGGATCATGCGCGACGCCGAGGCGAGAAGGGAATACCAGACGCTCTGAGCAAGCCGCCAGCCACGATAGATAGACAGACAGACAGACAGATGTGTATAAGCTCAGAAGGGGAGCGATCGATGCCATGCACGACAGGGGCCGAGAGAGTTTTTGTGGAATAGATAATACACAGCACACACAGAGGGGAGGGCCTGAGAGGGGGGGGGGGTGTGGATGGGTGCATGTCTGTCTGCCTGAGTGTGGGTGTGTGCATACATCCCGATGGGTTCGATTTTGATGCACACGCAGATGTGTATGTATGTCCAGTCAGTCCACCTATGGTTTTGCCATCTATCCTCTCATAGGTACCTACCTCCCTGCCTACGTGTGTGTGGTGTGTGCGGTGTGTGTGGTGTGTGTGGTGGGCGATGTTTGTGCATAGCATAGGGCGGCTTGTATGATTTGGCTGGGGGCGGGTTGCTTTTGTGACATCTGCCATTGATGTGTCCCTCCCTCCATCTGTGTGTGTCTTGCCAAGCAAGCGACAGACAGACGGACAGACAGACACAGACATGTGTGTACCATGTACGCAGCCTACAGTGTATATCAACGCTCCAAGCGTATGTCTGCAGGATGCACAACAACTGATGGCGCGCTCAAAAGCGTGTGTGTCGTGCATAATGGGTCGACACGTCACGAAGACAGGTGCGCCACAGTGACCGACCTCACCAGGCAGGGGGGGGCTTTGACGAGTGGTGGACATGCATCGGGGGTCCACCTACTTGTACAGTCCGCTCACAGACATAGACACAGACACAGACACCGACACGGACAAACACATACATGACTTGAAGATGACGCACCATACACACATGTAGCATGTCTCGATTGGTCACGCTGGTGGGGGAGGGGGCGAATAGGCACTCAAAGCATCCAGAAACTGACGCGCACACCACACCACACACGCGTCCATCCATCCATATCCATGATACGACAGACATAGTCACCTGGTTGAGTGTTGGGTCGTCATTCTTGCCCTTGAAGGGGATCTCCGTCGTCAGGGGACCTTTCTCGCCCTGCGCATCCACACCGCATAGTTGGGGGGCGCACACATCCAGAGAGAGTCGTGGAGACAGATGTGCATGTTATGTGTATGCATACTTCAGGGTACAAGATAGCCAAGAGGTCAGTTCTGAGAGCCTGCACGTGTGCGCGACAGGAGAGAGACCAGATGTGTGCAGTCAGTGCATCCAAGTGGTGTGTCTATCTTCTTTCTGACCTCATCCATGCCCATCGCGAAATCAACAAACATGTCCTATACACAAAGACACACACTCGTGTGTGTCACTGTCGTACGTCTAGAGCTCTATGTGTGTGTACTTTGTTCAATGTGTGTGGTGTGACGTCCATTCCCCGTGGAAACTTCTTGTCAGCCGTCAGCCGCATCACAATGTCCTTGCCCACCACAGACTCCTGCGCACAGACACATGCCATGCACGCCCACACCCATCCATCCCCCAATCGCATACAGACACACGCCACCCTCTCCCTCCCTGTATTTACTTTGAGTGTGTCCTTGTCAGTGGCGATGGCCCGCCACAGCCGGCAGCACGCCCGGTGCCGGATTGCATGAGACACGTCCTGCTCCAGCTGCGTCAGCTTCGTCTCCAACTCGCCATTCTGCTCGCGAAATGATGCACTGAAAAGAAGAAAGGGGGCACATAGGGGGAAGATTTGCATGTCGAAGGCGGATTTTTCCGTCTGTCTGTCTGGCTGCTTGTTTGCTTACGAGCTGGCTCTGAGCTCCTCAATGACGTCCCATAGAGGATCCCTGCATGGACGCATCGGCTATACATGAGGAGAGATCATGTCTTCCTGTCTCTAGGGCCCTGTGTGTATGTCTCACGGACAGTCACCTGTATTCGCCAAAACACTTTCTGACAAGCTTACGCGGGTCCTCGGGAGCCACCTCACTCTCCTGCAACCCTATCAACACTGCAACCGAATATATACACACACACAAATGCATCCAGCCGACACTGCCCTGCTCAGTCAATTCGTACGTTTGACGAGCGCCTCCACAACGCCCTTATCCACGAGGAACTGCCTGAAGTCCCTCATCTTGGCCTCTCGCCGACTCGCCTTGATCTCATCAAACGAGGGCGGCGCATGGCCCATCTGCTCTGCGGCCGTTTGTGAGAGGGAGGAGGGGCCCGGCGCATGGGAGGTGTCCGGGGAGGGTAAGGAGGGCAGGGGAGACTCGGGAACAGTGGACAGGGCCTGGCTGCTCATGGCTCTCAGTCCATGCGCTCTCGGAGACTGGGGGCGACCTGGGGGAAACACACGGTCCGACCGGGGCTGCCGTTCGCTTCGTGCAGTCCTTTTCAGAAGAAGGTGAGCCATCATGCTGGCGATTCCTCCGCCACCACCGCCCCTCATCCTGCACCGCTCGGGTACGTAAGCGCTGCGCACACAGACAGACAGACAGAAACGCTCTCATCATGATGTTGTGTTTGTATGTGTATGCACGTATGTATGTACGTATGTATATGATGCGGTTGGCTGCAGAGCTGGTGTGTGTGGCGCGCTACGATAGTGCCCAGCACCACCGACACAGGGCTGCGGCGCATGCAGCAGCCAAGGGCGGTGGGGAGGGCACCGCCACAGAGGCGGCCGTGTCGCCAAAGGCAGGCGGATGGCGCTCAAAAGTCACCGAACCTTACAAGGTGTCTCTCTCTCTCTCTCTCTCTCTCTCCGCATGTACTGTATCCATGCTGAATGCGTATCGATGTTTCCTGCAGCCGTTGGGTGTGCCGCTCCTGGCGTACAAGGACCTGCCGGCGCCCTTTCCCACGATGGCCTCCAAGTACCTGCACGCCCCGCCATCGCGGCGGTCCACACGGCAGAGGGACATGCTCAGGGACGCCGCCAAGAGAGAGGTCGACGGTAGGCCCCACCACACAGGCACACACACCACGTGTTCTCTCTCTTTTTTTCTGTGTGTGGCTGGTGTGTGCAGCAATGGAGAGGGAGCGTGCTGAGGCGCATCGCTTGGCGTCTCGTGTGGGGGCGTTGAATGTGCGCAAGAGGATCGACAGGGACGGCGACGGCATGGACTGGCTGCGGAGATTCCTCAAGGAGAGCGAGGGACGAGTGGAACAGGTCAACACACGCACACGCATGAAATGTCACAGTGCATTCGTGTCGTACGTATACGGGGTTATAGGTGCGATCGTTGTCCCCCCATCTGCTGTTTGGTCAAGACTCATCGCTGCTCAAGGACGACCAGCTGGACCTGCTGCTGCCTGACCGAACCGCATACCCCGTGCAGCCCACAAGTGTGTGTCCAATCACACGTGTACACACACGCACACAAAACAGCAAGAGGTGCTCTTGTGTGCTTAGCGAGCCCCTATGGCCGCGAGAGGACACAAGCCGACATCGGTTACACCAGCACCAAAACCCCTTGATTTCTGCAGCACGGCTCTTATCTCGTCCTCTCATTCCGTTGCAGCGGCCCCCACACGAGCACAACCACCACCACCACCCATACAGATGCAGAAGCTCCGGTCGTCCTTCTCCGACACCATGGACACCACTTCCCCTCCCCCAGCCGTCCCGCCCACCGCCCCCGTCACCTACATCCCGCTGCGGCCGCTAAGCGCTCGGCTGCACGAGACACGCAGAGCAGGGGAGAGATACACATACCCGTCACCACCTCGCACAAGCAGGTGTGACAGCCAGTGCACTGACGCACAACGGGGACCGACGCATGCCATGCGTGTATGTTATGTGCAGGCCAGATATAGCGTGTCGGCTGCGCAGGAACAGGAGGCTGGTCCGCCGGACCGTCACACCGAACTCACCGAGGATCGCATTCATAGCCCAGCAGACAGCAAGGCGGCAGCAGGGGCCGCTGCCATCCCATGTGCATGACGAGAGGCGTGCAGCCACTGCTGCGGCAGCTGGTGGTGGCAAGTGGGGTAATGGCCGTCGTCGGGCAGGGCAAGGTCCGGGGATGGACGAGCGAGGGAGGGAGGAGGAGTGAGCAGAGCACATACTTATTTGTACGCACATACATTGCCAGGCGCGATGTGCACATGTTTCTGTGCCTCCATTTATTTCTTCTTTTTGTGTGTGGTGCATTCATTGGCAGGGTCCGGCCGTCGACAGTGCAGCAGATGCGCGGCGCCACCAGGATGCGCCTGGCTACCAAATTCGGACCGGAGAAGACCAAAAACCTCGTCCAGGAGAAGGTTCGTTCTCGTGTTCGTGCGTCTGTGAACACATACACACACACACGCATCACTGTGTGTATGTGTGTGTGTGTGTATGTGTGTGTGTGTGTGTCTCCCCCCCGCCCCAACAGCCCTTGCACATATCAGCGATCGACGGCCGTGCAGAGGAGCTGCCCATACAGCTGCCATCCCTTTGGACGTACATAAGCAACGCAGACACCCAATGGCACGTGTGTGTGTGTGTCATGACATGGATGCATGGTGTGTGTGTAGTTACATCGACCATCTGACCCCCGGTTGGCTGGAGGACCAGCGCGTCAAGTACGGCGAGCGGGGAGTCGGGAGCGGGGGGGAGAGGGAGACACCGGGATCGACCGGTGCTAAGAAAGGTACACCGTATATACACCCTACACACACACCTGTGGATGCGCGTGTGTGTGTGCAGGTCGGACTGAGACGGTGGAGCGCAATCCATACCGAATCCTCGACCGCAAACTGCAGGTAAGTATGTACATGCAGATACCTTTCCTTCCTTCCTGTAGGTATGTGCATTTGCACATGTGTGTGCACATACAGGATTTGGACCGTAAGTTCTGGAAGAGCCGGAACATGACCCACCTTGTCGGCTGGGGCGGCGCCACCGTCACGCACTACGGTCAGTCGGCCAGGCAGTCAGCACACACCTCACGTATTCACAAACACACACATGCCTACGTGCATGGTATGCATATCTCAGGGGCATTTGATGAAGGCGACAGGGAGAGAGACAAGCGTGTAAGATAACGGCCGAGACACCGAGCACATATGGTGTCTCCCTCTCTCTCTTGTGTGCGTGTCGTGTGTGGTGTTCGATAGGGTGCTTCGTTCATTGACGGCTCTGAGGCGGACGCGGAGAGTGTCCACGGACACCCAGCAGGTCAGGTGCCCTTCCCCGCACATTTATATAGACACGTGGACGGGTGCACAATGATGCAGACACCGCGGGTGTGGGTGGCGACGACGTGCCCCATTCTGTGCCCATCATGGCCATTCTCCTCGACAGAGACGAGATGAACGACCCTATCGCACGCATCAAGGCACGTCATAGGCACACACACACATACAGACACAGATCTATGTCCACATCCCCTCTCTCTCTCTCGGTGCGTGTCGTGTGTGTGTATGAGGCCTGCAGTCGATGCTTCAGGACTTTAGCGACACGCGGCAGCGGTTCAGACACTCACTCGAACAGAAACTATTCGCAATGGTACGCACGGCGTGTGTGGCATCATGACACTTTCACGGCAGCACAGCACACACACAGCACATGCACACGAATGCGCCCCTATACGTCGTACACGCAGGAGTCTTCCCGGCTGCCGTCCTGCTTCCGCAAGTCACGATACCTCTCACAACAGACACACGGCGGTACGGTACGCACACGCAGCCGCACCCAAATACACACACATATATTCTTGCGTGTGGATGGATGGATGGATGGACGTGTGCAGCTGACCGGCGTCAGCAGCGGAGTGCCGGCAGTGAGCTGCGTGGGATGCGGCTCAAGGCAGAGCTGGAGTACCTGCAGCAACACGCCGGCAAAGGCATGTGCAGACAGATACTCTGGTTGGTACTCTTCACCCACTCCCCAACACAGAGAGCCTCCACATATGTGTATCCATTCTGTCTGTGTGTGTGTGTAGGTACATGTCTCTGCTGTCGTGTCTGCATCCGCGCAAGCGTGAGCTGTCACCGGTGTGCTTCTGGCTGATCGAGTGCATCCGACGGGTGGTCGAAAGAGGTACGTACGTCACCTGCATCACGGCGAGACATGCTCAGCTTACGCACGGATAGTGCGTGTGTGTTGTGTTTGTGTGCAGGTCGCTTGTTCACACGAGCGATGTTCTTTGAGCTGCTGTCGTCCATCGAAGACTGCGAAGTCACACCCATGCTGTGCATGGTACGTACGTGTGGAGTGACGTGCACAACGAGTGCCTCTGCATTATAGATACACATACCCATCAGTTGTTTGCGCGCATGACCGAGGGCATCCCCGACCTCGCCCCGTCGGCACTCATCGACTACTTTGTCAAGGAAAGAGGTGCAGGCACACGGCACATGCACATGACACACGCCGTGTTTACATGTCCACACACATACAATGCAGGTTTTCGCCCCTCTGCGCTCGACGTGGAATTGAGCAAACTCAAATTTGAGGGCGGCGGGCAGGAACAGGTGAAGGGAAATTCACCCGAAGGCGCCTCTTTCTGTCTGTGCACATGCGTTTGTCACTCTCCCGCTCTCTCTCTCTCTCTGTGTGTGTGTGTGTGTGTGCCTACAGGCGGCTGAGGAGGTGAAAGGCACAGGTGAAGAGGATGAGAATGCGCCGAATGAGGAGGGCTGAGTGTCGATAAGTCAGTCCGTGTGTCGGCGGTTTGGGGGAGTGGTGTAGATTGTTCTGTGTGTGCACATTAGAAAAGGCCTTGATTTGACAGATCGATCGCATGAGCTCACGTCGAATGCACCCGCACACACATGAATGAACGAATCCACACATACATACAATGTCTCCCCCATGTGTGTAGGAATGCACACTTATCACACAGCAGACACGGAACAGACATGTGTTCACCCATTCACCAGCCTGATGTAAAGGTGTCATCAGCAAGCCACTCTGCCTGATTGATTGATTGATAGACTGCAAAGAGCACCATTGTGTCTCGAAAAATAGGTCAACTACGCAGACCAAGAATTGGAGACAACAAGCGGCGAAGCGCACAAACACACAAAACATACACATGCACACACATCTATACGAAAAATAAGGCGACAATCAACAGCCACTCCCCCATCTCGACAACTAACACGAATTACCAATGTTGGGACCAACCCATCACGCACACACTCATGTGAAAGTCACTGCTCGGCTCGAGTCAGTCATGAGACAGCCATCCATTACACCAGGCACGACCACAAGCACACACCCCATTCCCTCCCAATCAAACACACACTCATGCAGGAGTCATTGGTCGGCTGAATCTTACAAACCCATGATATCAGCAATGGTCCAATAATTGTCGATAACTGTGGTGGCGGCGATGTTGTGGTCGCACGGATTGCCGAGTAGCTCGTTGGGTGGGGCACCAGGGTCCCCAGCGATTCCAGCGTTGTTAAGTGCAATCTGCCAAAAGGAGTCATCCCGCTTTACGACTATGCCAGCGCCGCTCGCTCCCCCGTTCGAGTCAAACTTGTGGTTGACTCTCGTCTCGCCAAGATCGCAGAAAGGAAAGTCTCCTGTGAAATCAAGTCGGAAAAGCAAAGAACATTCAATTTCAAACCTTTTGGCTATCTGTCTATCTGCCAGTAGAGTGCCTCTTACGTCGATGCTCATAAAAGAGCTGTTCGTTGTCTGCACCTGTCCCCGGATAGCTGAGCATCCACGCGTCCGCAGTGAAATCAGGACGTAACCCACAGACGGCTAGATGACCCAAGTCTGGTAGACCAACCCCCAGAAAGCCAGTCTGATCGCCAATTGGCGTCGTAAAGTGCATGACCGTCCAGTCAATCCCCCGATTGGCAGTATCTTGATATAACCAGCCCGGAGCCACTTCAACTGAGTCCACCTTGGCAGGTCCATAAGGGCGTTGATACCAACTTTGCCCCGGATAAAGTTTGGCACTCTGCAAACAGACAACGACCAACAAACGGTAGGTAGTGGGCAAGCTACGTTGTTTTTGACCACTTCGGTCTGACCCAATTGGGCTTCAGCCAATTTCCGGCGGGCAAAACAATGACGCGATCCATCCAAGGGATATTGACTTCCCGCTCGGGGAGTTTATCGGTAAAGCAGTGAGCTGCGGTGAGGCCGAAACTCGGGCCACCTGCCACAGTGCCACTGCAACGCGCGACTGGGCGACCACCTTGTCCATCGTCATATTCGATTTCCAAATATCCTACAGAGACAGGCAGGCAGGCAGGCAGGCAGATCGATTGACGCATCTCTAGACCATATTTGTCCGCCGAACGCGCTCACCCACCGAATGCTCTCCACGGATAGTCTTCCTGCGGGCCTGCTCTGGTGCGGCTTTCCCCGTCGAACACACACTCAGGCGAGGCCAAGTCTAGAGTGGCGGTCGTGTTGTCTAGATGGTTGACTGCGTTGTTCTTGCGGAAGGTGGAAGGCAAAGGCAAAGGCCTGGGGTTCGACGTGGCAACGTCCTTCGGGTCCCAATCCGAGCCTTTCTTGCCAGGCAAACCTGCTAGTGAACCAAGAAAGTGTCTCAAGGCATCAGCGCCTGGTTGCACGAGCGTTACTGACCTGACGAGGATATTCCGCGCTCCTTCAGCCTCTGACGCATCTCCTCATAGGTGCTGGCCCTCAGACGGGCATATGTGTCGCCCCCTGGCACAATACGAACAGTCCTGACCCTTTCCAGGCGGACCGCTTCCGCCTCTCCACGTGAATCTCTCAGTGCCTTCTGTCGGTCGGTCGAGTTGGTCCCGCCGGTGAGGCGCCCAATGAAGACGTAGCCCTGATCGCGGAACCGATGAACGACCGCTGGAGTGAGCTGTTGCGCTCCACCCGCCGATTCGCGGATGTCGGAGAGCTTCACGAAGGCGAAGTTGTTCCCCAGCTTGATGGCTCCCTTGTTGATGTCCTCACAGCTGCCTTGGTGGCGGATGGTCTGCTTCTGGCATAGCGCGAGGCACCCCGTGGCGAACGTGATTTCGTTATCGGCACAGACCAGCTGCTCATTGGCGACAAGCGCATGGCGGGTGCCGCGAGGGGCGGAGCTGCCGACAGGGGTGAAGGTTTGGCAGTTGCAGAGGGAGCCGACGTCTAACACACACACACAGACCATCCAGCCACGCAGCCATCATCGTGTCTGTCGATCACCGTCTTTTCTGGGGTTGCTTCCGTCCTCTGGCGAAGGGCAGGCAGTGATCATGGCAAAGAGGAGAAATCCGACGAGGCAGCACAGGCACTTCGTCATTGCTGCGAGGTGAACGGGAAGGCCACTGCCTTGCCATCTGCCAGTACGGCTCCGTTAGCGTCCGTTACCGGCATCGTTCACGGAGCTAACGACGACGACCAACGATGCTCCGTTAGAGGCATTTTGGTCGACCAAAATTCCTCAATGCAGGCAGGAAACCAAGCAAGGAGCCGCCAGCCAAAAGGCAAAGGCCCGCCGCGCGTTCCGAGGCGTGTGTTTACATTTTTTGCCGTTGGGACTCATGTATATTGTGTGAGTGCCTGTATATCATTAGAAAAGGCCTTGATAGATCGGTCGCATGAAGGCATGAATGCACACCCAAACAATGTCTCCCCCACAGATGTAGGAATGCTCAGATACATGGCTACTACATCCCCATCATGATGCGCATGACACACATGGCCATGGATGGATGGATGGAGTCTGTACTCATTCATGTGTGTTCACCGGCCACACACATCAACCATCCATCCATCCATCGATTCACCAGCAGCTCAATGGCCGGCCCTGACACGCACACCCAGAGTGTGTGCGTGTGGGTGTGCGTCTGCTGCATGTGCAAGCTGCCCTGCCGGCTACCTGCTCAGTTCATTCGTCAATTCCAGTCATCCAGTCGTCCAGTCAATGGCCATCGGTGACAGTCTCAGGCACTGTGGCATCACTGCGCACGCCGCCGGTGCCCCTGCACTCATACACATTGATCATGATGCAGACGCATGGGCCAGCGCACTTCTTCTTTCACGTGTCCCTCCCTTACGCGCGATCCACTTGCTGCACGGGCGGCCGGGGAAGGGCTGGCACACAGAGCGTCAGGTGCATTCAAACAATTGCAATGGTGACTGTCTCTTCCTCAGGTACCTCTGTTGATAATGTGCTGGTGCTGGTGCTGTGTTTGTGGCTGCTGTGTGCGCATCCGCCGCACACCAACACCCCCACCACTGGCACCACCAGCAGCAGCAGACAGCTCCCCCTCGGTGGCGGCGTGGCGGGGTGGTCGATTGACAGCTGTGGTGAGCTCGCCGGCAGTGGAAGGCCTACAGATACACCCACGCACAAGAACGTGTGTGTGCATGCAGATCCATACATGCGAATACCTGTTGTAGGTGGTGTATCTGCCTCCTGCCGATGGCCGCCCGTCGGTGCTCTTGACACGCGGCGACGAACCAACCTATCACACACACACACACACATACACATATTCTTTGCCTCTGTGCATACTCGCAGATGTGTATTCGGATACCTGGCCGCTCGGTCTGTTGCGTCGAGGGCTTGCGGACGTCACTCTCGCAGCAATGCCGTCATAGGACGGCAGCTTATCAACAACCATGCCCTTGCCACGCACATACGACGTGCCGGCAGAAAAACCTGCAAGACTCACACACGTAGGCATGTACCCACGCGTCGCATGTTGGTGTGTGGCCCGACTGACGCACCCAGGTTCGCCCGCTCTTTGGGCGGCGACGCTGCGCGCGTGACGCTGCCGTACGGCAGCCACGGACGAGGCGAGGGCGACCGACGGTTAGCTGACATAGACCGGAGAGACATATGCAAATGCGTGTCAATCGTGATACTGTGTGTTGTGGTGTGTTTCGTCTTGCCCGCGTTGCGCTCGCCGCTGGGGCTGCGATCTCGCACAGCAGCACCAGCAGCTGCCGGCCGGGGTCGCACCGGGGCAGGGGGCGCCTGAATGCACACACCACACCACACCACGTACGGACACAGACACACACAGGGATCACGTGTATCTATGAGAGTATGTGTCGCTAGCCACACACCTCCTGCTGCAGCGAGTTTGCGGCTGTGTGTTGGTTAAAGGCAATGCCGACACCGATGTTGGGCCGCTCCCGTCCCCTGCTGGGCTGGAGATCCCTCTCCCTCTCCCGCCCACCCCGCGTGTGCATGACGCCCCGGCCAAAGCCTCCCGACACCGCCGCTGCGCCGCCAGACGGCCGCGGACTCGCAGACCGGCTACCTCCCCGGCTCTTCTGCTGCTGCTGCTGCTGGACGTCGTTGCCCGTGCCCCTCATCAAAGTGCCCCGCAGTCGGTGAGACAGCTTTGAAGCCCCGCTGTCCTCCTTGCCTGCACCGCGCACGTCACGTGAATGAATGTGTATAAATGGATGTGTGTTAGTATGTGGTGTTGTGGCTCACCCATGGCGTTAGCACCGGTCATCAGGTATCCCCTGGAAGGACTCTTGGCCATCATGGCCCGCTGTGCGGCCACCTTGCCGCGGTAGCGCCCCGCAGACGTGCTCGCAATAGACGATGGGCTGCATATGGACCATGCAGAACCATGTTGATGAATGTGGCACATGTGGTGGGAGTGTGGTGCCTACGTGTTTGCCTCATTCTCGTTGGCTTGATTCCCAGCGGCAGCAGCAGGCACAGCCTTGGCACCTCCTGCACACACAAAGGATGGCTGAATGGCCGGCCATGTGCACCTGCCTGTGAAGGTGATTGCTGTGTACCAGTGGGTGGTTTCTTCCTCTCTATGACGAGTCTTGCGGATGGCTGCACAGCGGGGGGCGACACACGGCCACTGCGGACTGCATAGGTACTCGCATACAAACACACACACGTGGCGATTTGTGTACTTTCGCATGTGCATGTGATGGCACCATGTGTGCGTGTATGGAATGGAATGGTCGCTCACCGCCCCGCTGCACATTAGTGTGGGTGTTGTGTGTGACGTGTGGGGGCGTGATGGGCGGCGCCTCCCAGTGCAGATGAGCACCACCCGACACTGCACACACACACCCCACGCACCCCACACAGACCCATCAAGGCGTACCCACACATTGAAGCGCATCCATGCTCACCCCTTTCCCTCTCCCTCTCCCGTCTCCCATCGTCCAGCCGAACGCTCTCATGTTGCTCATGGCGGTCGTCTGTCTCATCGTCAGTGCCGGTCTCGTGTGTGGCGCCGCCATGTGCTGTCGGGGGTGACTGGGAGGGCGGCGACGGGAAGAACAACGAATCCTGCACAGGTGCAGGGGTGGCAATGGGGTGTGTGGCGTAGCGGCATGTGCGTGCATGGTGTGCGCACCGCTATGAGGCCCCGCTGCCTCTGCCGCGTGTACTCGTCAATGATATATCTGACCAATGAATGCAGGAAGAGACACACACACAGACACGCTCATATGCTGGTCTGGTCTGCTGCTCGGACGTCTCACTGGCTGGCTGGATGACATACACATACTTGAGTGTCTGGTGCCTTCGCAACAGGGGGCGCACGTCAGGCTGGCTTACCTACACAAACACACACACACACACACACACCATACACCGATACGTAGGATGCATTGATGCATTCTTCACCCCCCCACCCCACCAGGACATGCAGTATCGGCAAGGTCTGCAGCAGCTCCTGGTCAGTACTGTCACCCAGGAAACTCTATACGCGCGCGCACACACACACACACACACACACATGTCGGTCGGTGTACGTGCCCCCATGCTTCCATGGGTACATGTATGAAAATGCCGTTGTCCGGCTGGAACGCAAACGATATGAGTGAGTTGTCAATCAAAATCAGATGCGACAGCGGCCGTCCCAACAAACGCAAATCCTGCACACACCCACACACACCCACACACACATAATATAGACGTCGACACACACGTGTGTCGGGGCTGCCTGGGGTGTGGGTGGGCTGTGTTGTGTTTGCGGCTTGCCTTGATATAGTATCCTCTGTGTTCGACGCAGTGATACCGATACAGCCGGTGGGAGAAGAACTCGTTGTTCGGGTCCAGCTGGGCGATGATCTGCAGTGACACACCGACACACGCGCGCCTCTGCCTGTAGTGGATTGGATCGAGCCTGCCTTCCTCCGTGTCGTGTCTACCTGGTCGGCTGCACAGGTACGTACGGACATTGCAGAGAGAAAGGCGAAGCGAAACACACAGGTATCGCAGCCTCACGGTGGCTGGCTTACTTACCATAGTCATGGTTGGCCGCCGTGTAGCACACCTGACCGTTACACATATACACACGTATACACTCAAGCTGTGTGTGTCCATCCATCCATCCATCCATCCATCCATCCAGTGTGCGTGTGTGTGTGGTCACCACTTCGAACAGGTTTGCGCACGTCTTGAGGAACTCGCGAATGTACGGGCGGAAATACACATACGCCTGCACAGCACAGCACCACAGCACAAAACCACAACCCCCCGCCACATATATATGTGTATGCGTCTGCGCAGCGTTCCGCTCATTCATTCATTCGCTGGCTGATAATATATCTACGGACCCAGCTGTCGTCCTCCTGGCTCCTGACGATCATGTCGTGGGGGTGCTCCAACGACTCAAACTGAGTGTGCGTCAACCTTCACACAGCAGGGCCAACACAGAAACCGACACACACGCACACGGTTGTTGCGAATATGTCCATGCGATCTGTCCATCTGTGTGTGTATGTGTGTGCGCACGTACGTTTCGTCCATATCGAGCAGCAGTGTCTTGCGATCAGAGCTAGAGGGCGGCCTGGGGAGAAGGAAGGCATCCAATGTATATATGCGATGCACAATGGGCCCGTGTCTTTTACTGACAGTGCATTCGGGACGTTTGGGTGTATTTCGCAGTTCTTGGGCAGCGTGCTGATGAACTCCAGCGCCAACAACGTCTCACGGGGCACGTCCTGCCTGCATCCACACACCACACCCATCCAATCCACAGTTGCCATGGAGCCTCTTTCTTTCTTCCTCTCTGGATGGACCATCTGAATCCCTCCCCTATGAAGGATATCTCCTCGGGCGTCGGCTCATGCGGACTGCAACCATCCTCACATCCACACACACAATTGATGCACACGAATGCGGATGCATCTTCTCTGCCTTTCACTCACCTTCTCGGCGATGCGGCAGCAGGCCGACTGGACACAGACGACTGCGAGGACGATGGGCCTGCAGGAGGACGATGCATCCCTCCCTCCCCCGTCATGAAAATTTACGAGAGGGGAGGCGGGTGCTGGGGGAGGAAAGTCCACACACCGTGTCGTGTGAATGGACACGACGAATGCGCCCCAGATCATCCCTCACCACATCGAGAGCGTCCAATATACCCCTTTCGCGGCAAGGTAGGTACAAACACACTCTGCTGCGCACCTCTGTTCCATTCACTCTGCCGGTTCGTGTGTGCGTGTGACCACACTCACAGATGGGTGCCGCATTCGCCGCGTTTCGTCATCTTGGGTCAGTTGCCGCGGGCCACGGGGTGCCTCAAAATATACGAGATGGAGAGGGAGAAGCTCAAGATTGTCGCTGACGTAAGTAGACTTTAAGGGCCATTCTCACGGCGAACAACGGGCGGATCTCCGTGTGTGTGTGTGTGTGTCTGTGTCTGTGTCTGCATGGCGTGCGTGTGGATCCCATCCCGTCCAACCACGTACATGTGCAGACTGAGAAGCCGGCAGGGCTGCAGTGCGGGACGTTTGCGGCTTCCCCCAATGAGAGCGCACTCATCGCCACGGGCGACACCAAAGGCAATGTCGCCATGTGGTCAGCAAGCAATGAACGACGCACGCACACTTTGTGTGTGATGTGTGGTCTCTGTGGGATGGATGGATGGATGGATGGCTGCAGGGACATCGATGCGCTGAGCCGTCCGATGTGGTCGTGTGTAGAGGGGCACAAGGGCATCGTCAACGCCATCGACGGATGCGGGTGGGGTGCGTCCGGATGCACTGCACCAATCAGTACTTACACACACAGGCCATCCCACCTATGTGTGTATTCACCACGTGCGGCGAATGCGTGCAGGGGTCAGAATATTGGTTATGGGGCGCCGGAGCTCGTCACGGGCGGCAGGGACGGTACGCTTATTACAGACACACGACGCCACGCCCCATTGATGCGTTCTTTCATCGCTGCCTGGCCTGCAGGGTGTGTCCGTGTGTGGGATCCACGGCAGGAGGACGCTGTAGTGGCACTAGAACCGGTAAGCGATGGATGGATGGATGGATGACAATGTCTGTCTCGCATGTGTGTGTGTGTGTGCGCTGCATCTGCATCTATCTGCCCGTCCGTCCACTATGGATGGCTTGCCTGCAGGTAGAGGGCGAGACGCCGGCTGACTGCTGGGCGGTGGCGTTTGGCAACGCACACAACGAGCAGGAGAGATCCATCTGCGCCGGATACGACAACGGTATATATGAGCGTATTGTAGGTACACACACATGACATGGAATCGATCATGCACACCACACCACACCACACCCAACACAACACAACACACAACGCAAGGCCCATCACACAATGCAGGTGATGTCAAGTTGTTCGACCTTCGGACCATGACACTAAGATGGGACACCAACGTCAAGAACGGGGTGGGTCAGTTAGAGAGCGAGAGAAGAGAGACACAGCACAGGGTGGAAAGTGGTGTCATATGCTGATTGATGCATCGATACGCACGGTACAGGTGTGCGGGGTGGCCTTCGATCGCAAAGACATCAACATGAACAAACTCGCCGTCGCCACGCTCGAACAGAACGTGGTACGCACACACACAGAGAGAGCCCCCCACCCCCTGCACACACCTCTTTATGTCTGTGCACACCACACAGACGGTGTTTGATTTGCGGACGTTTCACCCCGAGGAGGGCTACGCCGGGCGGACCGAGAAGGCCCACAAGTCGACGGTGTGGGGAGTGCACTTCCTACCACAGGTGGGTGGATGGATGGATGGATGGTGGGGTGTGGTGGTCATCCCTATGTCTGTCTGATGTCGATGTGGGTGCGGATGGGGCACAAGCAGAATCGTGAGTTGTTTGCGACGTGTGGCGGCAACGGGCAGATCAACCTTTACAAATAGTACCAACCACAGCACAGACAGCTGCACACATCGTGGCGGGCACGGGCCTGTCTGTCTGTCTGTCTTTCTGTCTGTCTGTCTGTCTGTGTGTGTAGTTCGTATCCGATGGAGCGGAAGCGCAAAGACCCCGACAACCCCTCGCTCGAGAAGGGAGTCGCAGGTCAGTCAGCCGGGGTGTGTGGTGTGTGCACGTCTGCAGGGGTGTGGACGTATGTGTTATGCATCGCATTCATGTGTGTGTGCATGGGATGGTATGGGATGGTATATGGTGCCCTCACTGCAGGTACGTTAGAGCTGCTGAATCAGAAGGACATCGCAACACAGCCCATCGTCAGCTTCGACTGGTGGGTACCTATACACACAGACACTCACTCAGGAGGTGTGTGTGTGGCGGGGATGGAGATGTGTGTGTTGTGTGTGTGTGTGTGTGTGTCTTGTGGGTGTATGGGTGTGTCTTGTGGGTGTGTGTGTGGACATACGCTACGCAGGCACCGTGACAAGCTGGGCCTGTCGTGCATGGCGTGTCTGGACCAGACAGTCAGGGTCGTCATCGTCACAAAGCTGGACACCTTCTGACAGACACTGACTGACTGCCACATGTGTACAGACAGACAGACCAACGACGTCAGACAGACATACAGGTACGTGTGGTGTGCTTAGGTGTCTGTCTGTCAATACGGTCATCCCCTGTCGACCGACACATGAGAAATACACACCACACCCTCACTCAAGGCTGTCTTGGACAGACAGAGAGGCCCATATCTATCGATGAGATGAAGAACACAGAAAAGACCTTCCTCTTTATATACACGCTACGCTACACCCTACAGGCTTCCCTTCCCCAAAATTGCCTCCCTGCCTGTCTGTCTGTCTACATACATACTTCTAGCTAGCTATAGAGCCGCCAACAGACAAATACGCAGCCTTCCTCACTCGCACATCTCAGCCCACACACACACTCGATCAGCCCTTGAGCCACTCGTACCAAGTCCTTTGGCTGGCCGGTCCGTCGAGCTCCGGGATGTAACAGAAGGATGTGTTGCCGTCAGCCGAACGCTCATTCACCTGAATGAAACAGACAGACAGGACAGATACACAACACGACACAAGCGGACGTACAGAAGTGTTCGCATCACCTCTCCCTCTCTCTGCGTGTGTGTGGGGAGAGGTGGGTGTGGGTGTGGGTGTGTACATGGTTGTTTGGGAAGACCATGGTCGACGTGCCGTAGCCCATCTTCCTCGCCACATCCTGTGTGTTTGTTTTGTTGTTTGTGTGTGTTATGTGTGTACGCACCAGCACACATATCACATGACATCACATCACATGAGATGCCACGCCCCCGTGTGTGCGGTGCGACACGACAGAACCCACCTTACCTTGTAGGTTTGCAGTGCCTCCTTTGACATGGTCGGCCGCCGCGAGTACATTATCACCGATGTCCACCACTTGCTGTCCTCACGACGCACCTGTGTGGTGTGCAGTGCACCGCAGCCACCACCCAGACACACACACTCACGTGCATCACCCATATGTGTGTCTTTGTAGAGACAGACGCGTTGCATTCACGCTTTGCTGACTGACCGGTGATAAAGCGGCGCAGTAGTAGTAGATGACGTACTCGTTGGGCTTGTGCGCCAACACCACATAAGGCCGATCGTCATTCCAGAACAACTTGCCTGCACACAGAGGGAGGGAGGGAGGGAGGGTGTTTGTTTGGACGGGCATCTGTGTACCTACCTGGTGTGTCGGTTGCTGTGAAGTTGCCAAAATCCTGTGCCTCCTTCCAATGCAGCTTGCCGTCCTTCTCCTTCACATTACCACGGTACCTGTGTTGTGTTGCGTACACGCACATCCATCCATCCATCCACCCGCACCCACCCCTCCTCCCACAAGAAACACTCACCACTCGTGCATGTGCCATTTGTGTCGATTGTCGCGTTCGTCCGGCGGGTAGTGTGTGATGTTGACCCGCTGGCAGTCGTAGTTGTCTAGGTCGGTCATGCCGATGGTCAAGTACCAGCTGCCCTCGAGCACCTCGGGGCTGAAGGTGGCGTCGGGGGTGGGGTGCAGACACCTCCCGTCCTTGGGCAGGTGCAGCACGCCGCCGTCCGGCCTGATGTGAACCGACACACACGGATGGATGGATGGATGGATGGATGGATGGATGGATGTGCTGCACAGAGTTTGGGCATTGCCCCCGCCGACAGACCTGACTGACCTGCTTGACAGAGGGATGTCGAAGCATTCATCGAGGCATGTGGTTAGCGTGAAGAACTTCTGCCGCCGGTGGGGATAGCTGATACATCACATCCACCACACCAAGCGAACAAACAACCAATCAGTCAATCAACACACACTCCCTCTCTTCCCCCGCTCCCCTTCCCCCTCTCACTCACCAGCAGGGCACCCAGTTGGTGAGGTTGATGACCCTCTCCTTCTCGTGCTCGGGGCCCTCCTTGGGAATCACAGACACACCCGCACACTGCAACGCCTCACGGCAGTCAACATCTATGTTACACATACACATCACCGAGACCGCAACGCACACAACACAGATCACAGACGACAGGGGAACATGGGTGGCTGCATTAATTGCATCATGATGGTAGTATCCTTGTGTTTGCTGCTGTTCTCTGCTGGCTGACCGGAGAGGCACTTGAGGAATGTGTTGGAGCAGTGCAGCAGCGGGCTGATGCGGCACAGCTGTCGGCTCCTCTTCAGAGCAAACACTATGGCGACAACCGCCACACCCGCCTGATGATGATGAGAATATACATAACAAGCCACAGTCCCGGGCGTCACTCTGTGCTCCATTCTTCCTGTGCTTCTTGCCTTGAAAGCGCCCTGCCAGCCGAAGGTTTCGCCCATGTCGATGAGTAACTGAACTGATCTCTCCGGAAAGTTGCTCGAGAGATCAGCTGGAAAGATCCTCACTTTCAGGTCAACGCTATACGAATGACGTTGAGTGGCGATAGAGATCGGCAAAAGCTGCGCCTCAAAGCTCGCAAATGGCGATCGGTCGGAAGAAGGGAATGAGGGAGAAGTAGGCGTTGATGATAAGAGAGGCGTGTAGAGTCTGCTGGCGCCCTGGAACGGCAATTCGATTCATAGCTTTCAGCGACGTGGCTGCGAGATGGCTGCCAGCGCTGCTCAGGTGAGAGAAGAGGAGCCAAAGAAGGCACGCAGATCACGGCGTCAGTCGGCTGTGGCGGGCTGTCTTTGATTGTGTTGTTTGTCAGGCCAATTATCTGCAGACGACGATGGCTGCGATGCGGGAGCAGCTGCTGGCGGGGATAGAAGCCTATCGGACCAATCAGGCGAATGTACCTTTTCAACGCACTCGCTCACTCACTCACTCACTCACTCATTCATTCGGTGCATCGCTCATCGGTCGGTTGCTTGCTTGGTGTTGTTTGTGTGTGACGCTCAGGTCAACAGTTGCATTGACCAATTCTTTCAGATGGACACCGCTGCAGTGTCACCACTGGTGCGGGCAGACTGCCCGCCAAGCACACAACACAATCGAAGCGCAAGGCCTCTGTGTCACGGGTGCTTCATTGATTCATTCGTTCACCAGATGATGTCCAACGTCATTGGGCATCTCGTCGCTGCATCTGCCCGACTGGCCCAGCTGGCGGACAGCATGTACTCGACCATCGCACTCACAGCACACACCCGCACTCAGGTGAGAGAGTGACACACACACATACAGACACACCAACATGAGACCCAGACACACAGCTCCATGTCTTCCTGTGTCATCAGGCTCGCCGGTGGCACGTGACTGACATGCCCGCCGAGCCCATGCGCATCATCATTGCCCTGTCTGACCTCACCACCGTCGCCCGCTTCAAGTCGACAGCAGGCCCCATCACCGCTGCCCTTCGGCCCATTGTCCGCCGCTTTCGCCTGCCGAAGGCCATCGAGGGGGCGGGAGTGAGTGGTGTGGTGCGGTTTGACAATAAATTGGGCCACGGCGATGTGATGAAGGCCATGTGGATGGTGGAGGAGGGGGGCGAGGGTTGGTGGAAAGAGGCAGGCGAGACACTTAGAGTTGGCGAGCACTGCGGCTACTGCCAGCTGCCCATCACTGTGGTTGCTGGAGATCTGCAGACACACGCCACCAAAGCGGTAAGCGCAACACACTTGAGAAGAGGGTGCCGGTCACTGAGTTAACGGCTCGCTCTGTGCGTGTATGTGTGCTGGATGCAGGACTACTTATCGCTGCCCCGCTTCTGTGCCGAGTGGATGGTCGTCGGCCGCCATGTGGCCCTCCGTCGCCCCACTGGCCAGCAGGACGGCACTCTCCAACTGTTCCGCCATAACCATGAGATTCGCGCCATCCGCAACGAGCCCAACTTCGCCATCACCCTCAACCCGCCCCTCCCCCTCCCCAACCGCCCCACCCATCCCTTCTCGCAGCACCCCTTCCAGCAGCACGCCAAGCCACACGACCCCCCTATCGGCATCCGCATTGGGTGGCAGGCTGGTGTGGGCTGGGCGGCGGCTGGTGCCAACAACGGGGGCGTTCACGCGTCAGCGAGTTCCATGTTGAAGAGGCTGCTGCTTGGTCACCAGGAGGTGGCTGTGGGCGGCATGTCCTAGTCGCCAATAGTGACGGTAGACCGGTAAGTGGATGGACGGCAGGTCGCTCATGGTCTGTTTCAAACACCCATGTGTGTGTCAGGGGTGTGTGTGGCGGCCATCTCGACCGCATCTTGACCCAATCGCCGCACACGCCCCTAGATGGATGCTCGGATGTGGCGACACGCGAGATGGTCGGTGGGACCTGTGTGCAGCTGCGTGTACTGACGTCGTCCGGTGACCCCTTCATCGCATACATTGCCTGGGGCCCCCCTCCAGGCACCAACGGGGCCCCCCTCCAGGCACCAACCAGAACGATACGCATACACGTTAGTAAAGAAAGAGCAACTCGATTGACGAGACCTCCATGCCGTCATATTGTCCGATCATCTGCCGTTGTTTGCGTGCAGTGCGCGTCATCATCGTTACCACCGAGGCGCCAGCAGCAGGAGTGGCCAATGACGCGCCCTTCGCACAGCGATTCCCCCTGACCGCCGCCAAAGTGCGTCTCGTCCTCGGCCCCATCGCACCCATCATCCTCAACGGCCAGGCACCGTAGACCATGAAGGTGAGGGCTGCACACATGATGCAGAGGACCTGATCTATGTGTCCAATGTGTGTGTTTGTTGGTGTGTGTTCTGCAGGGCGGCTGGATGGCGTCAAGGAAAGACAGACACAAGTAGCTGATCGACTGCTTGGAATGACTGCATCAATCATTTCTGCTGGTGCATGAATTATGTTGTACGACGGAGACTGAGTGAGAATGGACTCATCCGTGACCGTGCATTGTGCACAGACAGCCATTTGAATGGGTTTAGGTGTGACGATGCGTGCGTGTCTTGAGAATAGTCCCACAGCATCCATCGCACAACCGATCCATCTCTGTCTGTCTGACAAAGCCCTCTGAGCAACACACCACCCAACCCAAAGCAGAGGGCAGTGCAGGGCAGTACAGTGAGTACAGTCAGTGCAGTGCAGTAGCAGTACAGCACACAGCCAGCCTAGCAGCCCTTCTATCTATCTGTGCAGTTCAATCAATACAGTCACAAATAACATCGATGTCTTGTGAGTGAGTGCGTGTATATTGTCATTAGCCATCCATCCATCCATCCAGCATAAAAGCATGAAAGCACTCACAAAACAAGGGATCCATCAGGCAGGGTGTGAATGAATGAATGCGATCGGTCGACCAACAACGACGAGCGATAGCGACATCGACAGCGATAGAGACAGAGGGGGAGAGAGAGAGAGAGAGAGAGAGCGATCGAGCCGACGAACGATGCGTGTGGGGGGTTGGTTGGGGGCTGGTCGATTTGGGCTTTACGACAAAAGGCAAAACAGAGCGCCCGACACCTAAATGGCTGATGATACACACATGCAGATACATACATACACCCCTCCACCTTATCTATCTCCCTTCTGGACAAAGAAACAAACGACGAGGCGGCTGGCCCCTGGCCTGGCCTGTCTGCGCCTCTAGATCTGAGACACACCACACCACACCACACAACACCACACAACACCACACAACACACCACCACACACCACCACACAACACCACACAACACAACACACAGGAATGAATGAGCCCTCCCCTCCCTCCCTCCCTGCCTGCCCCCTCCCGGCCCTATACTCAACACAAGCCTACGTACTTATCTGACACACACCACACACACCACTCTCAATGACACCAAAAAGGCTATATAGGCACTGTTCTGGACACTGAGAAACCAAGACAGCCAACAGTGCAGTGGTCGATGAACCATAAACAAACAACGTACGTCCGCCCTTACCTACTGCCCCTCTCTGAGACCCACCCCGTTGGCTGATCATCAACGTCATCACACACAGGCATTTAGACACACAACGACTCACACGTTGTGGGGATGTCCTTCTCGTCGTAGTCAAGGTACGCGATGTAATTGCCGACAGAAAACTCAACCGTGCCGGAGGACTGACACACACACAGAGGCAAACCACGCCATCACAGAACGGCGAGTGTGCCTCCTTGTTGGCCGGCCTGTTTGCTCCCTTACCTCCACATAGGCCCTCCCCACAAGCGACCGCAACACCTGCACACACGCACACACACACACACACACGATATGGATCAACAAACACATGAATGGCCTTCCTTGCGGTGGGTGCAGTGCGTCTTACGGTGCGTATGGCGGCCTTCGAGATGAACGTGTTGAGCGTGTACCATCTTGTGTTGCTGGTGCTCTCCGCGCGGATCACCGACGGGTCGTCTCGCCAATCCACTACCCCGCTAGCTATCAAGCTACAAGCATCAGCACACACACAGAGAGACAGAGACACAGGGAGAGTACCCGCATGGCCCACCCATGCTGCTCTGTGCGTGTCTGCAGACATATGTGTGCGTACGTTCCATCGTTGTATACGGTCAAGTTGTTGTGTCGGATGGCCATGTCCACTGGGAAGGCGTTGCGCAGCGTCAGCCGCACCAGGATCCGCATGTTGATCAGCGGGATGCCCTACACACACCACACACCATACAGAGAAGATGATATGGATCCACGGGAGAGTGAGCGATCCACTTCACTCACCCTGAGGTCGTCCAACTCCACCGCCTGCATCAATTTGTTACTCGACCCAGGAATGGTCATCCGGCTCTTCCACGCGCCAAACAGCGCCTTCAGCAGCGGATTCCGCGAGCTGTCCCGCCGACCCCTCACCTCCAAGTCGTTTGGCAGCTGGCTCACAAACCTCGACAGAAACACACGGGACCCCGCACGCAGGTCGGGGCCCGGAGCCGGGTCGATCCGCACTTGAATGGGCATCGTGTGGTTCTCCCCGTTGACAAGCGCCAGATCTGGAATTGTCACCTCCCCCACCTTGACCAGGATGGTGTCGCCCCCGTCGGTCTCGTCAAGGATTGTCATGCTGTCGGGGAGGGATGACCGGAGAGAGCGGTTGGTGGGCAGGTAGAGGTCGAGGTCGACGTCGCCGAGGCGGGCGGAGAGGAAGCCTTGGTGAGCGATCCAGAGGACGGTCTCGATGATGAGGGCGTCGGCGGTGCCGCCAGTGACCTCGGTCCCGAACACACCACTGCGGTCTGCCAAGGTGCCACCGATATCTGCTCACACACACACACACACAGACATGGACCAATCCACCCTCTACACGGAGGCCGTTGGCGGCCGTCTTACGTTCGATGTCTCTCCTGAGGGTGAGGTCGACTTCGCGCACCTCGAGCTCGCCCACGGCGGTCTGCACAGCGAGACTCGCCCTCCCGCTCAGTTCCATCACCGATGGCCCACTCTCCGCCACAAGCGACACCAGGAAGGCCTCGAAACGCTCCCGCTCCTCGCCCTCTTCTGTCTGCAGGGTCGCGTCGGCGAATGACGCCCTGAAGGCCCGCAGCCGGGAGGCGTTGTGGGCGGGGAATGCTTCTGCTGAGGGGGTGAGAGGCGAGACGCTGGTGGTGGAGAGGGAGACGCGGCCGAGGGGGGGCTCGAGGGAGCTGTCCTTGACGCGCCGGAGCTCGACCGTCTGGTTCAACTCGATGACCTGCAGCGGCAGCAGGGAGATAACTGTCTCTCTCTCTCTCTCTGTGTGTGTGTGTGTGTGTGTGTACCGTGTGTGTGACATCGAACGCCTCAGGCAGCTGGTAGACCACCTCCACGTTGCCCTGCAGCACCGGTCCGCCGCCATCTCCACCTCCACCACCTCCCGCAGAAGTGGTGAAGTCAAACATGAGTGAGTCTATCGCCACATTGCCAATGAACTCGCCGCTCTCCACACCCACAGCACCCACACCAGCACCCTTACCCTCACCCTCGCCCTCTGCCACATCTCCTCTCGACGGTGAAAGCTCCACATCGAGCGACAAAGCCTCCATGGCCATCAGCACCCACGACCTCTCCTCGCCGTCGACAGCCTTCTTGCCTTTGATGGTGACGGGCAGCGGCCGGCTGTCGACCATGGCGCTGAGGAACGCGGAGGCGGCGTCGCGGTCGGTGATGCCCTCCCGGATCACACCCCTGACCATCAGCCGGTTGGCGCCACGCTTCAACGTCACGTCAGGTGCGACCAGCTCCGCCAGGCGGCCGCCGTCGTACCAAACCTCAAGCTCGATGCCGCCCAGCTCGATCGAGGCAAGGGAGCCATCGCCGTCCCCTCCGATGACCACGTCAAAGGCCGCCTCCATGTCAAACCCCTCGTCGACGTTGGCGGCGTCGCGGACGGACCACTCCCTCAAACCCCCAGCTCCCCCCTGGTTGCCGAGCGAGATACCTCCTATGGTCACGTCGGTTTCTACGGGAAGGCGCAGGGTGAGCTCGCCAAGAGGGGAGTCGACTTCCGCCTCGACCCAGCCACCCACCACCACCCGCTGCTCGGCCTCTGGCTCGTCGGTGTCTTGTGCTGCTCTGGTGGGGCCGTCGTCCGTCGAGCTGGTGAGATTCTCGTCGTCTCCCGACCTCAGCAAGTCGGCAGCCAGGTTCCCGAGCCTCTCGCCGCCGTCAGGGAAGACAATCATGCCGTCCTGCAGCTCAAGGGAGATGCTCCGCTGAGGGCTGCCCTCATCGACCGAGGTCTTCACAGCCATGAAGGGGGTGGTCAGGGTGCCCAGTGGGGTTTCGTCATCAGCAGCCCCTGGGCGCCTCATGGCCACGTCAACACGTGCCCGCTTGATAATGACCTCGGAGCCCTCGCCCAGCGGGTTGGTGAACCCTCCACGGACCGACGCGGAGAAAGTGGCGCCCGCCGTCGCGTTGTTGGCTGCCCCAAGGGATACATCGGCGATCCTCAGCTCCTGGAGAGTTTGTTGCGGCCTGCCGGGCAGCGTGATGTCGACAGCGATGGCCTTGACGGTCTTCCCGAGCCACGACGGGGCGGTCTCTGCGCCTGGGATGGTAATGGACACGCCCTGCACGCGCACGGTGGCGTTTTGGCCGGAGAGGTATGTCGAGATGAAGTCGCTCGCTTGCAGCATGGCATTTGGGTCCTCGGGGTCGGGCGGCAGCAGCCGGCCTCTCACAGGTAGAGAGTTGTTGCCCGCTCGAATGCGGAGAGGCTCCACTGCCAGCTCGCCCAGCGTGATGCTCTCGTTCGCCCCGCCGGCAGGGTACTTGAGCGCGAAGACCACGTTGCCCAGGTCGACGGAGAGGGGAAAGTCCGGCGGCACACTCACTGACAGGTCGGTGGTGAACGCCACGCCCTCTTCTCCCGGTTCGCTGCCGAAGGCGATGGATCCCAGCTTGGCTGAAGCGAGGTCGAAGGCGGGCTCGTCGCCGTCGGTTAGGGGCAGGGGGTCGTCAACGGCAAGTGGCAGGTCACGGATCTCAATCAGACCCAGCGGGGTCTCCACAGACACGTTGGATGAGCCCACCAGCTGCAGCCTGAGGGCGGAGCTGGGGAGGGGGTCGGTCGCAGTGAGGGCCGACACGAGGTCGACGATGGCCGCGCTGTTCTCGTCGATCGTCAGGGATGACCGAAAGACGAACCGCGCTCGCAGAGAATCCGTCGCGTTGGTGGTTCCGTTGCTGGTGTCGTCGGGTTCAATGCGCTGGGCGGGTTGTGTCGGGATGGTCAGGC